AAAGAATTAATATGAAAATTAAGGTTGAGCTTAATGAAAAAGAATTTTATTGCCCGAGTAGTAAATACAAAAGACAGTATGAAGCCTTGTTATATATGTGTGTCATATGAGGATGCTTGATTTATTCAACATCGAGTGAAGTTATAATTTTGGACCAAATGTTTTGGGCTTTGATGATGAAATAGGCATTTTATTTTTCTATTTTAAATTGTTAATAATGGTATTATAATTTTTGTTGCAGCACTTGGTACTTCAGATGAAGAAGAGTTAAATTTTGCATGCTCTGTTTATTGTTTGCCTTTTCATCACAGATACTCTGGAAAAAAGTCTTTGGTATATCAATCAATACATGGCACAAATTGTAAAATTGATATATCTTTAAGAAAAGATAGTTTGTACTCATACTGGAATAACTCCTGCTGATATTTGGAAAAATATGCCTATCTTGAAAGATTCTGATGGGAAAGAATTATTTGATCTATATATAAATACACCTTATTGCACACTTTCTAATTGGAATAACTGTGAAATAATGACACATGCATTTGAGAAGCATTTGAAAAAAAACATAACAGTTACTGATTTAAATTGGTATCATTTTTTTATGAATGGTGGCAACGAATAACTACTGTTGTTGAATTTACTTTGCACCTTGCTTCTATATATATATATCCTACAGATCACGTAATTACCAATAAAATATTAGAGAATGGAGAGGAATGATGAGATATGTTGGGTGCACCAATATAACACCTTATAAACAAAATGAATTTAAAGTGAGTATTTTAATTATAACCTTTATTTTTTTTATTACTTTATATCACTAATACATTATCATTTTCTATATAATAATTAATGTAATAAATAGCTTGAATTTTGGACATGTGCAGAGGATCCATCAAGTGATCATTCTTTACCACTCTATTTATATAAAATAACCTTATAAATACAATCTATCAGAAAGGGAGATATCAAAAATGAACCACACCAGGAAATTTTTCTGATGTGGATTTACATAAGTTTATGGCAGGTCCTGTGATATTATGCAAAAATCATACAAAAATTATGCAATTATTACATTAGTGTAAATATTACATAATTTTTTATGCAAATATTACAACTTTATATATTAAAATTTATGGACATAATATTACGATGGGGAAAATTTCCCGATGCAGAGGCTTCAAAATAAAGTTGATAAATTTTGGAATTGCTTTAACACTTCAACTGATTTGAATAAATGTG